TCGGTGAGTGATTGAAGCGTCTACTTTCCGAGGGGCAGATAGCACTGGGCCGGTAATCTGACTCTAAGCCCAGGGATAAAGGTAGTTTGTTTCCTCTCAGCCCATCTGTCAACACCTCCTCAGTAATTAGCCCTAATTATTACCAAGGGCCAGCCTCCCATTCGGTTATTAAATCAGAAATAGTATCGTGGCCGGGCATCTGTCAACGCCCGACTGGCGACCTTGGATTCATTGAATCCTCTGTCAGTATCCCTGGCTTCAAAGATGCAGATCCCAGGGAGGGGTTCCGGGGACGCAGTGCGGCCAGCCCTGCCAGGGAGGGGGGGCTTAGGTGAGGGAAGACAGCGCTCTGAGCAGCCCTGAGCCCCACAGGCCCCATCCCTGCACCTGCCTTCCCCCTGGGCAGCAAGTGCGCACCCCAACTGCGACCATCCCCACCTCTCCTGGTGATTAATGGAACTGTGTACAGTGCGGGGTGGGTGTGTGTGTAAAGAATGCCCTCCAGCAGCGCTTACCCTAGGGGACCAAAGGTCAGTCCCAGGCCTGCCTGCCTCCAGCACAGCCATGTCCCAGGAGCAGCAGGTGAAGGTGACCTGAGGCTCCACAGGGCCCTGTGCTGGCTGCTCCTTGAGAGTACAGGAAAAACCGCCAAGCCTCGCTGCCAGGAGGCCCCTCTGAGCTTTGAATACAGACAGGGCATCTCTCCAGGGGCCAGAAAGACCGCGAAGCAGATCTGGGGGACAGCTGTTGAAACAACAGGCTTCTCTGGTGGAGTCAAGAGTGCTGCACCCCTGAAGGCCCTTGGGAGACTGACAGCTGCCTCCACCCTCAGCCTGAAGGTTCTCGTTCTGTCCAATAGCAGCAAGTCATAACTTGGGAGTCCTGCTCCTGCAAAGCTCATACGTTCCTGGCTCCTCTGAGCGGGGAGGTGCTCCGTCCTGGCCCCAGGAGCTCCTTGCCTGCAGTAAACCCGGCAGTGCCCCACATGTGTCTAGACATCATCCCGCCAGGTCTGCAGGCACCCCTTCTGGAAGGGCTCCATGGCGTTTGGAGGAGAGGGCACTGGAGGCAAAGTTACAGTCAAAACCCCTGGGACGTGGCTCCTCTATGGGCATCAAGGCCCATGTGGTACAATGGGTGCCCAGGCAGAGGGGAGCATGGCGCTCCCAGCCGCATGCCTGCTCTCCCCTGCCACACCACAGCCAAGTCCCTGCTGGGTACTCGGCCGGGGCTCCCACGCCGGCCGGGCGAGACTGCACCGGGGCGGCCGGAGTGAGCCTCATAGACAAAGGCACAATGATGTCGGACAAACTGGCAGCTGCAGTGTGTGAGGTGTGGCCATGTGCTCCGCGGCCAGCAGGGGCTTTGGAGCTGGGCCGCTGAAGCCAGCAGTTGCAGACTTCTACTCAGGATAGCGGCGGGGGCGGCGGGGCGGGGGGGGGGGGGGGGGGCCAATCTTGCTAGACTAAAAGGAAATGCCAGGGAGAGGGGCTGCCGGGTAGCTGAGGCAGGCCGGCTGGGCAGGCAGCGCCACTCCATGAACAGGCACCTCAAGCTGCAGCTGAGGACGCCCATCACCCCCAGGGGCAGGTCCAGGGAGCCTGGAAAGATGGCAGGAAGGAAGTCCAGTTCGGGAGCACTTTCAGCTGGCCTGCCCCCACAAACTTCCAGGCAGGGGTGGGAAGCCAGCCAGACCAACAGCATTTTTGTCCCCGGTGAACACACGGAAAAGCTCACTGTTTTACAGGAAGTGTGACCATTCCCACACACCAGTGACAGCCTTTGGGGCCTGCTTCCGCCATGAGATCTGGTCCACGGCAGCCAGCTGCCCAGTGCTGATGACAGCCCCTCGACAACTCTCACCCTGGGCATGGAATGGGCCAATCCCCAGGGGATAGTGCCCAGGCAGCTCCTGGGAACCTGATCCCACTGGGAGAGAGGGTCTGTAACCATGGTGGTGGGGATACACTTTCGGACAGGGATCCACGTGTTTGCTCCTGCAACAGAGGCTACCTGCCTGCTGCCTCCTAGCACATGCAAGGCAGAAATTCTCTCCATTACCCAGGCAGCAAAGGGAGCCTTGCTAAAGTTCAGCAACTTGTGGGGGATGAAGGGGGACGGGGGCATGGGATGTGATGATAGGGGCCAGGAAGCCATGGTGGAACTCAGGAAGCGGGAACCTGGAGTGGGGTGGGAACACAGGGGCAGAGCTGCACTGGCTCTGGGGTTACCCTCCTGCCCGTCACCATCCATGGCTCCCATCTGCACCGATTTTCAGGGAGAGGAACATAGGGGTCTTGGTGGTGGGAAGGTTGCCATGTCCTAGAGGACAGTGCACTGGATGGGTTACCTGGTCACCCCATGCTTCCTGAATTCCCCTACCCTGTAGGCCCTCACAGGCCTCCCATCTCTCTACCTGTGGCCTTCAGAAAACCTTGGTTTTGGTGCAAAAGTGTCAAGGCGAACAACACTCTGCACTCAGGACCCCATGGGGCATGAGAAGCAGCACTCCCAGTGCCAGGTGTCCCTGCACCGACCACACAGCACCTGCACGTATGGCTGAGTGTGGGCTCACTGTCAGCCCAGGCCCTGTGCTACTTAGGCACACAGGTGGAGGAGAGCCTGGAATGCTCCTCTCCACCGCTGGCGGCCCCTCCCGGCAAGTGGATGAGCACCCAGCACCCACAGGCCCCAGCCCTGGCTGTGCCCCTCCTGAGGCCAGGAGAGAAGGAATGGGCTGCCAAGGGCACCCCGCAGACCAGGGACTTCTTCCGGGCTCACCATCAACACCCTTATAACAGAGATCACGTTGTCCATTTACAAATGAGGACACCACAGCCTGAAGAGAAGGTGAGCTCAGGACGCCTGCTGTCTGGCACGGCAACAGTTGGCCAGATGATCCACCAACAGGGTGCCCCCAGGATAGGGACTGACCAACGCTGGAGCCAAGCGGACACACCACGGTCCACTGTACCATCCTCTCCATGTCTGTTTTTGACATGTTTTTATCACTAGCCAAAACAACTGAAAAAAAAGTGTCAGTGAGGGGGAGGAAGAGTTGGGAATATTTCTCTATCAAATAATGAACACTCACTATAAAGCCAGATAATTGGTGGAGGACCAGACCAGAGAGCCAGGCATGTATGAGAAAGATGGCACCATGGGCAGGCTGGGTCTGCTTGGCATCCTCAACCTGGGGTGGGAAGGTCTGCGCCCTGTGGGAAAAGGGTCCTCTACTCTTTAGCGTAGGATAGGTCACGCTGTGGAAAACACGAGCCCCCAAATTCATCAGCTCCATACCTCAGAGATTCCCACTCCTGTTATAAGTCTGGCACAGGTGGGTAGGAGGCCCTGCCTGTCACTCAACGATGCTCCAAGGGTGCTCACCATAGCACTGCTGGAAATTGCAAAAATGAAAAACAAGAACTCCATCATGGGTATTATTAGGGGCAAATTGTGTCCATCCCCCTCCCCCACAATTCACATGTTGAAGTTCTAGCCCCTACCCTTTCAGAATGTGACTCTATTTGGAGAGAGGGCCTCTATAAAAAGGGCATTAAGGTTAAATGAGGTCATGTGGGTGGCCCCTAATCCAACAGAACTAGTCCTTATAAGAGGAATTAGAACCAACAGGCACAGAGACACACCATGTGAGGACACAGGGAGGAGATGGCCATCACAAGCCAAGCAGACAGACCGCAGGAGAAACAAGCCTGCTAGCACCTTGATCTTGGGCTTCCAGCCTCCAGAACAGGGAGGAATACATTCTGTCGTTTAAGCCCCACAGCCTTTGTAAACTTGCAGGCATCTTTCCACGGATACTGATGAAGGCCTGCCCCCACTTTGGCAATAGCTGCCCTGTTGAGTGTCAGGTTCACCTTCTCCACGCTGATGGCCTCACCCCACGGGAGGATTAGCCACTCATCTCTCAGAACTCAGGTGTGGTTTGGCAGCTTCCTTTGGCCACCATCATGGAAAAGGAGTGACAAGTATCACTTGTGGTTCACTGCGGTCTTTCCCCTGCCTCTGTGGTTGTGGAGAAGTGCGTCCGGTGAACTCCTGTTGGCATGGTTCCTCTGCCATGGGCGGAGGCCGTACCGGTTGGTCTGTGACAGATGAGTAGTGAGACATGGGAGGTTGTGACTGCAGCACAGTCTGGCTCATCCCAACTGATGGGACTGGACAACAGCTCTATTTACCTCAGTCCGTGCTATACGACCTTTGGGCCGTTTCCAGTCTTGCTGTTAATGCGGTGAGTGCCTGCTAGGCACCTGACAGGGCTCAGGCCTTACCCATTTGCTCTTCCCACTGCCTTATGAGGTCAGGCGACACCCAGGACCATGAGCTTGCAAGTGGAGGCAAGGTGTGACCGAACTCAAGTCCATGCTCTGAAGCCCCACAGTGAGGAAGAGCAGTGGCCATCTGCACGTAAGTAAGTGGTCAGGGTCTGTGTGCTTAGAAATGTTATGGGGGGGTGCCTGGGTTGTTCAGTGGGTTAAAGTCTCTGCCTTCGGCTCGGGTCATGATCCCAGGGTCCTGGGATTGAGCCCTACATCAGGCTCTCTGCTCAGCAGAGAGCTTGCTTCCCCCTCTCTCTCTGCCTGCCTCTCTGCCTACTTGTGATCTCCATCTGTCAAATAAATAAATAAAATCTTTAAAAAAAAAGAAAGAAAAAAGAAATGTTATGGGGGTGATTTGTAGTATTGGATAGTCCCACCAATAGCAAAAAAAAGCCTCTTTCTCCATACCTTCAGCAATTCTGGATATTTAGAACTTTGAAAGTCCTGGGATCACAGGCAGAAAAAAAAAAAAATCACCCATATTTCCCTGTAGTATTTCCATGATTTTTTTAAAATATTGACATCTTTAATCCATCTGGAGTGGAGCCTGGTGCAGAGTGAGGTGGGTATCCAGTTTTACTATTTTCCAGATGGCTAACCAGTTGTTCCAACTCCTTTTACTAAATAATCCATTTCACCCCCATTAATTTGAAACCATACCTTTAGCATGAACCAAATTCCTTCATTTATTTGGCTTTATTTCAAAGTTCTCTATTCTCCTCTGTTCATCCATCCACACCAATTCCAAGTACATTCATTGTTGCAGCTTTATGAAGAGTGTGGTCGCTCAGAGGACTGTATCCATGATACTTCTGGTGTTCAACTTTTCCTCGGAGACATGCACTTTAAAAACTCTTCTATTGTGCCCACTGTGTCCTAGCTTTAGGAAATAAAATCTCCATGTTATTTCCAAGGCCAAGTACGGGACAGGCACAATGATCTGGTAGACAGACCCTAGCACATCGGCCGGACCCTGAGCACAGCCAGCAAACCTTGCCAGACTGTCCTGGTCCCAGAAGCAGCCTCCTCTAGCCTCACACCTATGTGTGAAGAGGCGGGAGTGGTCAATGCCCTGAGGATTCTCCTCCCATCACGCATGGCAGGGCCTCCTCTTCTGGTTCTCTGTGCTCCTTCTCCCCGCTCAGAACGGGAAAGCAGCTAGGTCACTGCATCTACCCAAAGACAGGGCACAGCATCAGCTGCCAATAAACCGTCACCCTGCAACACCATATGCACTGCCTATCTGCAAGGCCAGGCCAGAGCCCTCCCCTCCTCTCCTGATGCCACCCGCAAGGGCACCCAGGAACTGGCAACCTTGCCTTTGCCGCTTAGGCCCCACCCTCATTTCTTGTTCTTTGTGATGAGAGCCCAACCACAACCAGACCCATTTTCCAAATTAAAACACAGGTTGTCTGGCCCCTCCACAGGTCCTCTTGGGACTGCCTCTGGAGACGTGGCCCTCAGGAGAGGGATGCCGGACTACAAACCAAGCTGGCAGGAGCTGTCTGGGGCCCAAAGGAGATGGCACTGGGGTCAGAAGGGAAGATGGTGATCTTGAGCTTAAAGGGATTCACTTCAGATTCACTACATGTGGATGAGAAAGGTGCCCTGTGCAGAGGCCAGCACTAGAGGGGATATTAACTAAGGTACTGGGACATCAGCCCAGAGAGTAACCCCAGGTTCTACGGTCAGAGACGTCTTACCAACTCAAAAGATATGGCCAAGAATATCAGACCCACTGGCAGGCCAGGGTCTGCCCTGCCATGGGAAACAGTCTGAGCTGGGTCTGGAAAAGGAGGAGGGTCCAGACCTGAGCAATAGCAGTGGCAGGGGGGGCAGCAGTGCGTCTGGGGCCGGGTAACAATGTGCAGAGATTTCCTACACTTGATCAGAATCAAGGCTGCAGTGATTTCTTCTGTTCGATTGCTTGTTTGCTTTTAGGGTTCTATCAGCTTCCCACTTATTTCTAAGACTTGCACCTGTTGTACTTACAGGGCATCAGGGCCATAAAACAGCTCATCCATAAAACCATCTGAAGCCAGAGACTTTAAAAGTGACAATTACTAAATACAATAATCCCAGCAGTGTCTATTTTACTTAAAAATTTTTACCAGGTATTTATTTGCTTCCTAATTTTTCTCTAAAATAACTAGTTTTAGCAGCAGTTCACATTTCCACTTACTTTTTCTTCCTACTTTCCAGGAAAGCATTGTTTCCATAACTGTAAAACTGGAGGGATATGACGTTCTTGTCTAATTATCCCTCTGGGTAGGGGCACTATACCTATCCTGTGTTAAACTTGGCTGAAAGGAGCTTCTGAACTCAGTTCTCATTATTAGAAAATCCATCCTTGTACAGAACAGGTCTTCCTTAATCCCAATCCAAATCTCTGGCCCCTGGGTCTAAAGCTCTGGTTTGCAGCCTGCTGCTGGATTTACTTCCGGCTCTAGGAAGTCAGTTCTCAAAACCACACTCTACCTGCCAAGCCTCCTGCTCCCACCTATTCAGCCTAACTCCCGCCTTCAACCAGACTCTTCAATTCTCAAAGCCCCCACCAGAAACCACACCTCCAACACTGACCTTGAGTGCTTGAGGCTAGGGCCTACCCTGTTCCCAACAGAAAAGGCAATAGTGCTCCTGCTAACAAAATAAGGGCTCTGTCCGCCGGCACCCACCTCACCACAAGTGGAGCCATGGATTCAACATATGTTTAATGAGCACCGAACTGTGTATCAGGAACACAAAGCTGATCGAGATGGAGCTCCTGCCCTAGAGGCTCACAGTCTACCCAGAGATCCAAGTCATTTATAGTGTTATGGTTTAAGCACAGAGTGAGCAATGTGCAAGAGTGGGCAGGGAGACAGGGACCGCTGAAGAGCAGAAAGTGGGAGGGCAACATAGGCAAAGGCACTGAGACAAGAAATTCATGCCAACTTCTGAAGAAAACCAGGTATCACTAGAATGTTGATAAACAAAAGGGGAAAATGAGAATTGAATTGAGACTGGCCAGGAGGCCTGTATCTTACCTTCCTAGCTGGCCAAGGCTGGTGGTAAGCCCAAGGGAAGCGTCTTTCTCTGCCATCCAACTCATACTAAATGATCAAAGTGGCTGCTTCCTCCATGCAGCCATCCTTAAATTCCAGCCCAGAGGACAGAGGTCACAGGGAGCCAAGATGGGGAAGGGGGCCAAAGTAGAGACATCACCCAGGGGCAGATACACAAGGAGCTGACAGGACAGACCTAGTCCAGTCCAGCCAACATTGAACAAAGGGGTCCAGGGAGTGGAACGGCTATAAAGACAGACAAAAATCTGATGAGACTGCTTTTGAAATTGTCCAACCAGTGGAAACGCAGCTGAGAACCTACTGGGAGGCAGATTCTGGGCCACTGGGCAAGTCATGAGGATGATGCACACAGCAAAGAGCCCACTATTCCGTTCTAACAGGAGGTGGGGTGGTGAAGGGGACGAGAGGGCTGTTTGTGCTCAGAGGAGAGGCCACATGGGTGCACCTCCTACCCAGCAATAAAGCAAGTAGGTAGGGCAAATATCTGGGAAAGCCATCCTGTCCTGTTGCGGGGCTGTGGGCTATGTAGCTATGTAGGCCACTTGGTCACAAGGAGCACTGCTCTACCTGCCTGGACTGTGTGCAGAACCCAGGGCTGTGGAGTGGGGAGTGGGAGAAACTGCTAAGTCTCCTGGGGCTTTTGAGGTGTCCGCCACCCACTGTGGGGTACCTAAGGATGCCTCCTGGTCTACCTCCGTCTCAGAAATCTCCTCCTCTGTCTTCTGGGGGTTCTGGACGCCCTGGTGGAACTGGATCTGGCTTCTGGGCAGGCAGGTTAGCAGATCCTGAAAGTACAGGAACAGGTGCAGGGGTCCTCTCCCCTGGCTGGGACGGGGCTGGCCCCACAGGACCAGGATCAGTGTTGCATGCAGAGCTAGACATGGTGGGGGACTCCACAGACCCAAGGCTGTTCTCCTTGGCCCACTGCTCTTCAGGGAAAGTATTTCTGCGTGTAGAGATGGAACTACAAACAGCAGAGGTGGCCACAGCAATGGGGACAGCGCCCATGTTGAGTACCAGGCCTCTGAGTACCTAGCTAAGTACTGCCTCACCATAGGCAGCTGTGGGGCCATTGTGGGCTGGCTTGAGGCAGCAGGTAGTGGGGCAAGGTGATACAGCATGGTATTCAGTGAAACTGTTCGGGTTTTGAAAAACTGCCTTGAGATCCTGGCAGAAAAGCTCATAATCACAGGAAGGAGCAGGTCCCCGTCGATGTAGGGGGCTGCCCATGCCTGGGGTCAGTCCATCAGGTGCCCTAGGATCTCCCAAGACACGGGAGAGGTTGTCCTGATAGTGCTCAAAGCAAAAGGACAGATCGGTCCAGAAGCCATGGGGAGCCATCAAAAGTGCATGGGTGTGAGATTGGCACACAGCAGAAGTCCACCCTGGGGGCCATGGGCCAGGCATGCGCAGAGCCAGGGGCCCCCCCTTCTGTGGGTTTACCATCAGGAGCACTAATGGCCGTGCTCTTCTGCTCCGTGGTTGTGCAAGCACACACACAGGGTCCCCACAGCAGAGCTGCTCAATCCAGGGATCCACTGGGTGGGGGACTGCTGCCCAGGGTGTGCAATGGCATAACTGGTTCCCACCTAGATGGGATTGTGAGGGCCCTGCCAACACACCAGCCAAGGGGCATGCTGGGAACAGAGGGGAGTTTCCACACCAACTATTAAGAAGAAGGAAGAAAGAAGAGATGGTGCAGTGGGAGAGTGGTCATGACACAACGGGACAGAGATGGGCTGAAAGAAGTGTGGCAAACCCAGGCATCCCAGGTAACTGCTGAGGGTCAGAGGAGCTGACAGCTGTGGCCTCAGGAGTGTTGAGAAGAGCTGATGGGACTGTCAGACGCAGGCCACCATCCAAGGCAATCTGTCCAAAAACAAGGTGAGGAAGAGCGGGAACACGGCCAAACCAGCTCCACTGTGCAGCAGGAGGAATCCCAGGCAAATCCCAGGAACCCAATTAGGAGCTCTGAGTGGAAGGAGAGCCCAGAAGGCAGGCCTGTGAGGTCTGAGAAGGTGGGCAAATGCCACCTGTGATGTTTCACGGGCAAGGTGTGACGGCAGATGCTGTCAGTCACAGGAGAAGGAAAGGGGGCCAGATCAGAATCCCCAGGGTTTCCTTGGATGGCCTGGCTGGCTGTTGGGGAGTTTCAGGAAAATGACAGAAGCAACCTTTTACTGAGTGCTCTAACTGTGCCAAACACTAACCACCTGATGAGGCTGGTACTCTTATCATACCAGAGGCAGAGTGGTGAATGAAGTCATTTGTCTGTGGCCACACACCAACCACCACTAAGTGATGGAGGCAGCTGAACCTGACTCTAAAGACCACAGCTTAACCACCGCACGTCACCATGCTGGTTAGAACTACCCTTCAATCCACCGAGAAGGAGTCCCCTAGTCATGCCAAACGCTGTGACTGATATGTAAGTGTCAAAAGATCCTTTAACATCAAAGCACTAGGAGCTTGAAAGGTGCTACCTTTAACCTCAACAGAGGCCTGGAGACCCGCTATTCTCTGTGCCCTCCAACCTCCTCATCCACGCTTCCAGACTCACCTCACCACACAGACTATAGCCCGTTGGCAAAGACACCCCACCTTGAACACCACCTCCCTGTGTCCCCATTCCTGTCAACAGCCCAGCATCCACACCCCCAAGTTTAATCCCACTTGCTACATCTTCTTTCACCATCCCAAAGTCACTCCTGTAAAGGGCCTGGAGAGCAGTGGTCATCAACCCTAAGCTGCCCAAAGAGCCCCAATGTGGAAAAGGAGGCTGCAACCATCATCTTCCAATGCCAGGAGCCCTCTCCCAGGGCTCTCACGCTGCCCAGCTTATAGTGGCCACCTCTTCAGTCTCTCTGCAAAGGGAGGTCCACTCATAGCCACCACAGAACACATACTGCAACCCCTGCACACAGACCCTAATCCTCCATCAACTCACAACGGGGCACCACGGCCTGCACACACCTTTGGGCATAGTTGCCCATGTGTTTATCTCTCCTGTCCCCATCAGAGTGAGATCCTCCAGGGAGATACAGCTCTGCTGGGCTTTCTGCTGAGCACCTCCCAGAGCAGCCTTCAGCACTCGAAGCTGCTAGGACCACCAGCACCCACCTTTGCCACCCAAGAATTCTGGAACCTCTCAGGTTCCAATGGAGGTTCTTCCACCTGAAAGCCCTTCCCATCCTAACACAGGAAAAGAATATGCTAGAGTCTGCCAGCAGCAGTGGCCTAAGGGGCAGCACACAAATGCACTCCACTTGTGAGCCCAGTTCAGTCCCTCATGGAGTTCTGAAAACCAGTGACTGTGAGCCATGCCCCTCTCCTGCCACCAATCTGAGGTTAAGTGCCAGGCTGCATGCAAAAACCACATCCTATGCTCAGGACAGAGTGCACACGACCCAGGTCTCTGCCCTGGATTCCTCCCAGTCCCAAACTCCTACCCCCAATCAGAACCCCAGCTGTTTCCTGCCTGCTCACCAGCATGCCTGTGTGCCCCCTGCAGCCTGAGGGGGAAGATAAGGCTCCCTTGCTCCAACCAGCCAGCCCTGGTTCAGGCTTTGGGCCTGAAGCTTCCCTGGCTACCAGTCTGTTGACCTCTACCCCTTCTCTCCCCACCCTAACACTGAAGAATTTGGGCCCTTCTCCTGGACTGCACAGCGCTTTACTCAAGGAACACGTACGGGGACGCACGCGCATTTGCCTCCCCGCAAAGCCCCAAAGCACCTCGAACGCTAGAGCATTCTCAGCTCCGAGGTGACCAAGGTCCCCGGGGGTAGAATAACTTGCGTAAGGCCTCACAGCGAGTGGAGGGCAGACCACTGCACCACCCCTCCCGCAAACGTCATGCAGGAAACAGCCGGGATATGAGTTCACAAGTCCCACTGCAAAAAGAAGCCGACCTACCTAAGGCTGAGCGAAGCGTCTGAGAAGAGGGTCCACGGATCTGCGGCTGGAGACTGCGGACCGGTCCCCTCCCGGAGCGAGAGTCCAAGTGCCACCTAAAAAGTGCAGAACAATATCGGCCGCCGTGAGGCCAGGCGGGGCGCGGGAGCGACCTCCGAAGACCGCGAGAACCACCCGAACATGACTCCAGGATCTCCCCAGCCTGCGGCGCGGACCGAGAAACTGAGGCTTGCCGTTCGGAAGGGCAACTGGGACACAGTCCGGGGACTCCGAGCGCTTCTCTGCGGACAGGGGCTTAGGAAGGGATGGAGGGGCGGGGGCCCAGCCGGCCGCTCGGGTTCCCGCCGCCCCACTAACCCGCAGGGCCGAAGGTTGCTACACCCGTTCGGACTGGCGCACCGTTCAGAGCCGGAACACGTCGCGCAGCCACGCCCCCTGCGTGCGCGCGGCCGCCCCATACGACCCACGCTCGCTTCCCAGGAGGGCCGCGCCTGCGCCCTGAGCCTTGGGGCGCAGGGCTGCGCAGGCGCTCCCAGGCCTTGCCAGCGCGGCAGTGCGGCGCGGGGGTTCATGGGAGCGCGTTCAACCTGGCGGCGCCAAGTCCGCGGAGAGGGTCGGGTCGCTTTCGCGCGCGTGGGGCGGCCAGGGCTGGCGGTGTCCCGGAGGGAGACGTGAAATCCTCTGGGGCTGAGGAACGGATAGCTGGAGGGAGGGGCCGAACACCCACCCGGCTCCCCCAGAGAAGTTTGAGACGTTGCCACTGCCCTCCGTCAGCTGGGCACTGGGGCGCTACTGAAAGTCGGAAGGGATGCTGGGGACAGAGGGCATCAGAAAGGGTTTGGGCATAGAAAGGCAGCGGCGCTTGCATGTAAAGTTTCTCTCACCACCCATTGCCTGGTTCTACATAACCTCCGGCCCAGGAGTAAAAGGGCAGGGCAGGGCTGGCAGCGAGGAATCCTCACCGGGATGCCTAGGGGCTGACAAGCGGGGGCCTGTGGGTTTTCTAGTGGGTGGGTTTGTGCTACCTACCCCGATCGCGGCTGGACCGAGAGAGGACAATGAGGGCAAGCTGCCAAGGCCAAGTTTGCTGCCCAGGAGTGGCAAGCCCAGTCAGCACCCAGAGACTTTGCAAAAGCGAGTGGAACATGAGATTGGGTGCTTCTCGCGTGCACCGCTCCATGTTTCCTCTTCCTGTGCTTAAGGTGAAGAGGTGGGAGAGGGGGCCGGTCCCCCAGCCCAAAGACCAAATGCCCTGTGGACCAAGGACCTGGATGCCGGCCAGATGTTATTAAAGCCATCTGCGGAGTGGAATTCACTGGAAAAAGATGTTTCTCCAGGCGAGCACACACATAAGAGACCAGCTCCCTCTCTGCCCTGGTCTAGTGACTCCTTTCATGAAACCATCTCTGAAATGTTATCTGCATTTACACCCAAACTCTCTCTCTTTGATCTTTGAAACGCGAATCAAAGATCACATTGTACTTTTACTTGGGTCTGTGAGGCTTTCAGCCGCGTTGGCCAAAAATAATAAAAGTGGCACCCAGCCAGGAAACGCCTCCTTGAAGTGTGAATGAAACTTGTATTTTTCGGTTGTATCTTTCCTAATTGACCTGATAATTTAAACTTCCTGCCTCAAAGGAGAGGGGGAGTTCCCTACAATTTGGCTTACCTCAGGCACTAGGCAGCTCAGGCCAACTCAAGGCCGGTCAGCAGAGAGCAGGCAGCAGGCTCCTGTAAAAAAAAAAACTAATCCAACCCAGCCAAGCTATCAGAAATCATTTTTTTTTTTTTTAGATTTTATTTGTTTATTTGACAGAAACACAGCGAGAGAGGAAACAAGCAAGGGGAGTGGGAGAGGGAGAAGCAGGCTTTCCCGCCAAGTAGGGAGCCCAATTCGGGGTTCCATCCCAGGACCCTGGGATCATGACATGAGCTGAAGGCAGACGCTTAACAACTGAGCCACCAGGTGCCCCAGAAATCACTGTTTTTTTATTCAGATTGCTTTCATTCAGGCCAGCTTCTATGTATAAATATTTTTAAATTGCAGTAAAATATACATAACAAAATTTACCTTTTTTCTTTTTTTTTCCAAAATTTACCTTTAAAAAAAAGATTTATTTATTTGAGAGCAAGAGAGTGAATGAGAGAGAAAAAGCATGAAAGGGGGATGGGTCAGAGGGAGAGGCAGACTCCCTGGTGAGCAAGGAGCCCAAAGCCAGACTTGATCCTGGGACTTTAGGATCATGACCTGAGCCAAAGGCAGTTGCCCAACCAACTGAGCCATCCAGGTGCCCCAAAATTTGCCCTTTTAAAACCATTTCTAGGTGTACAATTCAGTGGCATTAAGCATATTCACACTGTTGGGCAACCTTCACCACCACCCATCTCCAGAACTTCTTCATCACCTCAGACAGAAACTGTACCCATTCTAATTCCTGGCCGCTACCTCTGTCCCAGCCTCTGGTAAACTCTATTCCATTTTGTTTGTTAATTTACTTATTCTAGGTACCTCATATCTAAGTGGAACCATACATTATTTGTCCTTTCACTAACAATAATGTTAAAGAGGTTTGCAATGTAGCACATATCAGAATTTTTGTTCCTTTATAAGGCTGAATAATATTCAATAATATGTACGTACCACATTTTGTTTATCCATTCAGCTGATGATGGCCACTTGCTTTGCTTCCATCTTTAGGCTATTGTGACTAATACTGCTATTAACACGGGTGTACAATTATTTATGTGAGTCCTGTTTTCAGTTTTTTTAGGTATATACCTAGTAGTGGAATGGCCGAATCACATGGTAATCCTATGTTTAACCTTTTGAGAAACCGCCGGACTTTTCCATAGCAGCTGCATCATCTAATATTCCCACAAGCAATGCACAAGAGTTCCAATTTCTCCACATCCCCACGCTTACTCTTTTCTGGGTTGGTTGGTTTGTTTGTGGTGTGTTGTTTTTTTTTTTTTTCTTTTTTTCTTTTTTGATAATAGCCATCCTAGTGGGTGTGAAGAGGTATTGCACGGTTTTAATTTTTAGCGATGAGAGAAATTCAACATCTTTTCATGTATTTATTGGCCATTTTTATATCTTCTTTGGAGAAGTTTCTGTTCAAGTCCTTTGGCCATTTTTTAATTGGACTTTTCTTGTTGTTGCGTTGTAAGTGTTCTTTGTAGATTTTAGATGTTAATCCCTCATCAGATATAAAATTTGTGAATATTTTCTCTCATTCTGTGGTTTATCTTTTCAGTCTCTTGATGGTTTCCTTTGAGGTACAGAGCTTTTAAATTTTGATAAAGTCAAATTATCCTTTGTTTTCTTTTGTTATTTTGTGTCATATCCAAATCGTTGCCAAATCCAATGTTGTGGAAATTTTCCCCTGTTTTTTTTCTAAGAGTTTTATAGTTCTACCCTTATGTTCAGGTCTTTGATCCATTTGAGTTGTTTTTTATATAACTTGGTTTTTTGGGTTGTTTTTGTTTTTGCTTTGCATGTGGTTATCTAGTTTTCCCAGTATCACTTGTTGAAAAGACTGTCCTTTTCCCATCAAATAGTCTTGTCAAAAATCAACTGACAATATAAACTTTGGTTTATTTCTGATATTTCTATTTTATTCCATTGATGTCTATGGCTGTCACTATGTCATACAGTCTTCAGTCTTGATTATTATAGCTTCATAATAAGTTTTGAAATCAAGGGCTCCTGGGTGGCTCAGTGGGTTAAAGCCTCTGCCTTCTGCTCAGGTCATGATCTCAGGGTTCTGGGATTGAGCCTTGCATCGGGCTCTCTGCTCAGCAGGAAGCCTGCTTCCTCCCTCTCTCTCTGCCTGCCTCTCTGCCTACTTGTAATTGCTGTCTGTCAAATAAATAAATAAATAAAGTATTAAAAAATGTTTTGAAATCAGGAAGTTTAAGTCTAATTTCACTCCTTTTTTCCAAGATTATTTTGGTTATTGGAGGTTCTTGAGACTCCATATGAATTTTAGGATGGGTTTCTCTACTTCTGCAAAAAAAAAAAAGAAAAAGAAACACTGCTGGGATTTTGATAGGGATTCCCTTTATTCTGTATGTCACTTGATATGGTATGGATATTTCAATAATATTAAGTCTTCCAGTCCATGAGTATGGGATGTCTTTCCATTTAAGTCTTCTATAATTTCTTTCAGTGATGTTTTGTAGTTTTTAGTGTGCAAGTCTTTTGCTCTTTGGTTAAATTTATTCCCATATTTCTTATTCTGTTTGATGTTATTATAAGTAGGATTATTTTCTTAATTTCCTTTTCAGATTGCTCATGGTTGCTGTATAGAAATGCAGCTTTTTTTGCGTGTGTATCCTACAACTTTGTAGAATGTATTTATTAGCTCTAGCAGTGTTTTTCTGGAATCTTTTTAGAGTTTTCTACATAGAATTTCATGTCACTTGTGAACAGAGATAATTTTACTTCCTTTATAATTTGAATTTATTTATTTCTCTTTCTTGTCTTATTGTTCTGGATAGGACTTTTAGCACTAAGTTGAATAGAAGTGGCAAGAGCAGACATCCTTGCCTTGTTCCTGATCTTAGGGGCAAAGCTTTCAGTTTTTACCATTGACCTTCATCAGGGGCCTTTCCCAGAGCCCATTGGTGGATGCCTGAGCCCAGAACCAGGAATACCAGGGTCTCTCTGTTCAGCCAGCACGTTTCTCATTCTACCAAAATTTTCCCTAAAAAATATAGAGCTGAATCTTTTGGTGCCTTTCTCAAAGGTCCCACTTTGCAGAAAGTCTATTTTCTCTTCTTCTGGTAGGGCTGTGCCCTAAGTGATTAGCATAGATGCCTCAGAGACCCTTTTAATTTAGCCAGGTGGCTGGGCACCTGAGCCTGGCACCCCTGGGGCTCCTTGTGCTTCAGCTTTGTTATGGACTGAATGTTTGTATCCCCCTAAAATTCATACGTTGAAATCCTAACCCCTAATGTGACCATATTAGGAGGTATGGCTCTTGGAGTTCTCATGAATGAAATCAGTGCCCTTATAAAGGAGACCTCACACAGCTCCCTCATTCCTTCTGCCACATGAAGACCCAGGGAGAAGTTGGCTGTCTATAAACCAGAAAGTAGGTTTTTACCAGACATCAGATCTGCGGGTGCCTTGATCTTGGACTTCCCAGCATCCAGAACTGAGAGGAGTAAATTTTTGTTGTTTATAAATCACTCAGTCTATGGTATTCTGTTATAGCAATCTTAAGTAAGACAAGCTTTTAGAAACCATTGTTGTCTTTGTCAGTTTCTTTACATTCTTTCTTTCTCTTTTGAAATTGGGACAAGATTTACTTCAATAATATACACCAATCTTAAAAGCGCAGTTC